TAATTCCCTTCTGAGAATCATGTGATGTAAACAAATACATTCAGATTCACATTTGAGGTTTGTAATGTCTCCAGGTTCTTCCAAAGCAGATTATGTTTACCAGAATGCAAGATTTAAAGAAATTTTGATCTATGTAGTTTGTGAAAGGTGGTTTTATTTCATATTCTTATGTCTGTGGAGTTTAAAGTGGCTCCATAGATACTGTCTGCACGATCAGAGATGTTTGGATCAGATGCTGCTGTGTGCATCAGGAAGAAAGGATAATTATTTTTTTCATTTAGTGGCTGACTTTTAGCACATTTAGGAAGGATTTGGTCTAACAAAGGAGATTGCTGCCCCCTCTCTCAGTACCAGTAATGGCTACTTGAATATTGAAGGTGGGAAATACAGGGTTGTTTAAATAACTGATTTACCTGGGGGAAAAAAAATTTAAGTGTCCAAAGAGCAGGTTCACTTGGCCTGTAGTATTTTAATGAAGTACAAAGGGCTGGTTACAGGCAGGATCTAGCTGGGAAAAGCTGTGCTATGATCTCTGAGACAGAGGGAAGAGAGGTCCCTTGGTGACAGCGCTGTCAGCACGGTGTGGGACCTTCCCCAAACTACACACCTGAGCTGCAAGCGCCTGATAGGGTAGACAGGCAGGCAAATGCCTCTGTATATAGCAAATTCCTCTCTGCCCTATGTTTTCATTAATGCTTGCTGTACAATTCTTGTTCTTAGTGCTCCCTCAAGGGCCAGGCAGTAATTTAGATGCTGATTAGTGAGCGAGATGCAGCAGCACCACAGCGCACACTCTCTCCTGTCAGCACTTGACTGAGGAGGGGAGCAGAGCTCCCAGCTACGCCTGCCACAGCAGCTGCATTCGGGAGTCTAATGAGGTGTTCCTGCAATGGGAATATTTCCAGAAACATATACTCACTCCAGGAGGGCTTACCAGGATATCTCTTTGTAATTAAATGTAATGACATCTAAACCCATAGTAGAGTTTTCATTGATAAACACTGGCAAATAAAAACCAGCAAGCGACAACCAAACAATTAACTATGTAAGCATTCTTTATGATGGCCTTTTCTGAATTTTTTTTTTCCTTTTCCTACCCCAGTGGTTTAGTAAAAAGCAATGAGATGCTCTGTGGCAATGTGTAGCTAGGACTCTGGCAAAAAGAAAACATTAAATACTTTTTGATCTTGCTATGTTTTCTAGGAGAAAGAAAAAGTAGTTGTGATAACAAAAAAACCAAATATTGTGTTAGTCAACTTCTAAATCAGAGTTCAATAAGCTTGTTTTACAAATACCAATGGCTATACAGATGGTGGTGGTCAAACACCAGTGAGGTAAACTGGTAGATCAAAAATATTTATTTTTATTTTATTTACAGAGAAATTGAAATGTGAAATGACTGAAAAATAATTTTCAGATATTTTCCTCTTTTTCTGCCACTAAATGGCAGAAAAATGAAGAGTATTTTCTGGATTTAGTTTCTAAAATTGCCTGAGTCCAAACCTATCAACCCCCTGTGATTTTTATCTGCTCGGCTGTGTTTTCCCAAGGAAAATTCTAAACTCTCTACAAGAAGCTTTCTCCAGCAATTATACCAGTCTCTTACTGAGCCTCTCTTGTGTAAAAACTGGCCTCTGACCTGTTCTGTTTCTCCAGTGCCTGACTGAAACCCTGCAGGAAAAGCTTTTACTTGCTCTTGCCGAGGGGAAAGCAAGCAGGGTACTTAGCAGGATGAGATAAGCCTTTGCTGGATGAGACCACTGCAGAGCCCATGGGTGATATCAGAGGCCAGCTCCTTTAAAACAGGTCACCTCTTGCCCTGCATGGCTGCTCCAAGTGCATTAACATTATCCAGGGGGAGAAGCAAGGCAGATGAATTTTGATCTCGCTCTAAAACGACCACAAAGCTTCCCCCAGCACAGACATGATGCTTGCACAGCAGTGGAGATCCGTGGAAGGAGTGATCTGCAGCACCAAGCAGATTTCATTCCAGCTACAATCAGCCTCCTTCCTCTGGGTTCTTCTCTGCCTTCAAATAAGGGCACCCTTGGGGGTTCTCAGCTTATTAGAGCAGCTCGGCTGGGAGTGTGTGCCAGTTCAATTCAAGGAGCTCTGCTAACAGCCGTGTTCGGGAGAGCCCCCCTGGTGCTTCTTCCACCCATTTCAGCAATATAGCCGGGCCAGGTCTTGCAGGTTTCCCTGCAAGTGGGTGGGATTTTGCCCCGGGTAAAGGCCAAAGCTTAGAACTCCCATTCTGAAAGGGGTCTGTGCAGGCAGATGGGCTCTCAGAAGTGACTCTCCTTAAAAAAAGTGAAGTCTTTGTTTCAGAGTCTGCACATATCTTTATTGATGGGAATACCCTTTAGACTGAACCCTTCATTGCATATTTATTTATCTGAGGATACAGAATAAAAGCCTTAATTTGCCAGGTGATGCTCCGGCCTACATGAGGTAAGGATCACACTAGGCTCAAACATTATTCACCCAGCACAAAGGAAAGTCTTCAACTGCTTTTTCCTCAGCATGGGTCTAAAGAAGTCTCTAAACAAAGCTCCAGTGTTGTTTTTACAAATGTCACTTGGGTATGTACAAACCCATTCTCAGGTCCTCATATGATTACTATTACGCCTCTCTAAAACAAAACCACAAAAACTGTCAAGAAATTACTTGAGTGATTAGATTCCTGTTAGTAATTAAAGCAGCCTAGAATAAGTTAAACTGGAAAAAAGCCGTATGTTGAGATTTGGAATACAATACAGCTATATTGTGTTCTGTGAACAATGTTATGGTCTGTGAGGAAGGAAAATGGAATATAATTTTCTTCCCTTCTGGCTCCAAAAAGAGAACAAATCTGTAGGGAGAAGTTTCCTACTGAGAGCTAGGGGTTTGATCCATATATAAGAGAAACAGCTGATCTCTTCACATTCTCCATGATATAATTGCTAAGTTATAAACATGAAAAATGAATTTCTCATTCTGTATAACTATGATTTTATTTTTTTTTTGTGAGCACTCCTGCCTGCTTAGTAGTCAATGAGAACTAAAGGATGTTGACAAACCAGAGATTTTATTCTTCACAGTGAATCAAGTGATATCGCATTCTGATATTTGTGATTTAGTTTCTGATTATTTCCTGACCCTTCTTAAGATGAATTTATGCTCTAAGAGTTCACTAAAGAAATTCAGTTTGTAATTGTCAATGGATTTGAGAGGGATTAGAGGGTGGGAGATGCATGGCTTGCTTGACTTCCACTGGTGGAAATGTCTGATGACGTTTTTTCTTACCTTATACCTTCATTCTCACAGCAAAATCTCTTGTCATGGAGATTTTCTACGTGATCTCTTGATGCCAGTACTGGCCTTTTGCAGGGAGAGCATTAATTCTTACTTTCATAAGTAAGAATAAAAAATAAAAAAAATTTACAATGTTGCCACATTGATGTCTTGGTATGCAACCAGTAAGAAAGTCTGCAAGCACATAAATAAGCACTCATTTAGCCAGCCTGACTTCATACCCCAAAGTGTTTTATGGATTTGAATAGACATTTCTATACTGAAATAGACACTGCTATACATATTTACAGGTAGGGAAATCCAGGAGGAGATCAGTGACCTTACCAAAGTTCACTCAAATGTCAATGGCAGGAAACTGGCCTTTTGATTGTCTTGTATAATTCTGTATCTGTGGGATCATGCTTTAGTAATCAGTGCTGTTTTCAACTACTCTTTTTAACCCTGAGCATGAGTGATATTAATATCTTTCAGAGAGAGGTAATGGGAAATACTTACATTGAAAAACCTGGTAATTCAATTAACACTTGCAAGATGCACAGAGCCAATGGTCAAGAATGCAATAGCGAATGTGATCAATCCAGCTGCATGGACTGGCTCATCCCGCCCCCCCACAGCACACCACAAGCAGCCAATATCTAGAGAATAAGTCAGATTAAATGATATTACCTAGACCTAATTCTTTGCTCAGACCTATGTTTACAGATCTGTCACACCTCAGTGAAAATTACACACTGGTATCTGCAAGTGGAAAATTTTAGAAGGCCCATTGCAACGGTGAGAGATTGATGTCTATGTTTTTAATGACATTTTATTTTAGAGCTCCAGACTTCTGCATATCAAATATCCTGCATTATCTCTGTCAAATATTTGTGAAATCATCAGCAGAAGACAGATACTTTCTGGCCGTTAACCACATGAAGGCAACAGCAGCAAAATAATTTCTCTCATACAAAAATTGGTTATGTGCCATGGTCAGAAAAAACCTTGAGCCTTCCTTGTGTCATACAATCTTACTTAGTTGTTCATACAGATTCTCAGAGGCACTTATTTTTATTAGAAATCTCAAATTTTGTCAATTCTGCCATACAATCTAAAGCAAATTAAGGCATCAAAAGTAAGAAGCTTCAGGAAAAATTTCAGTCTGGTAATGACATGAAATTTCTAAGGTTAAGATGGCTCTTTGTAAAACTTTGTTTTGTTAAATTTGGATATTACCCTGAGGCAGTCTTCAGTGCCAGCGTTGGTATATTAATAACTAAGGTGAGGTTCTTGTTATTGAGCGCAGTAGAACCCTTTGTGAATGTGCTTCACACCATTTGGTAACCAGGCATTTTCTGACCACAGAAGAAAGCTCATTCCGTGGGCAAAGCAGCCCTGACAGCCCCACTTGCAGTGCAGAGCCCTGCTGCCAGCCAGGACAAAGGACCTGCTGCTGAAGGAACTCCACTGCTCACTGTTATTCACAGGCAAAAATGGGAGTTAAGTGCTTCAGATGCAGTGCTTATGTCTAAATGCTAATCAGGGCCTCTGGCTTTCTGAGACACACAAATGAGAAAGAAAAGCTGTAAATAAGAAGATTAATTTCTTATTTACAGCAGTGCTGTAGGTTCATGGCAGAGCTACAAGTGTTAGCACCAACTCTTCAGAAGAGTTTCAGAAGAAACTCTTCTGAATTAACTTTTCTCTTTTCATATGTTTTTCTCTAGAAAAAGATGAGAAGAGAACAAACATCTCACAGGCAGAGGTAAGTGATTTTATTATTTTAAAACATATATTTATTATTATTATTATTATTATTATTATTATTATTATTATTATTATTATTATTATGTTTGTTTGTTTGTTTTTGAAACATATTTATTTCTATTGTTAAAAACTCTTTGAAACTCACTGATTCATCCAGGCTGATACTTTTATTTACATTGCCATACCACCTGCAGTAACAGAGCCTTTTAAGAACCATCACTTCCAAAGCAGGGCTGTGTAAAGTTGTGTTGTGTGTTCTGCCAGCTCTCCCTTCCCCCAGTAGCAGGGAGCTGGGAGAGGCAAGCTTCCCCTCTGCTGCCATGCCTGGTTACAGCACAGCAAACCCAGGGTGGCCCTGCCAGTTCAGCCCATCCGAGCGTGGATCTGCGGCTCACTGCCGGGCCAAAGGCATTCAAACACCTCTCCGCTCCCTCCAGCACTTGTCAAGCCTACAGCAGGCAGTGCAGTGGTGTTCAGTGCACAGGAGTTAAAAGCTGGCTCCTCCAATCTCATTTTCTAACCTCCCCTTGCACAGTCCCTCCAATTCCCTGATCTTTTTCTCCTTCACCACTGCTCCGAGCTCAGGCAGCACTTTAAATAGCAGCAGCAGGTATTGATCGGTTCAAATTTGAACTCCAATACAAACTTATAAAGATTTACTGGCGTGAGATTCACCAAGCAATCCTATAGTGCTTATAAATAGCTTTCTTTTTTCAAAGAAGACAATATTTTATTTATAAATGTTATCATTCTATCCATTGTGATAAGCTAAGGTAATAGGATTATCCCTACTTGTGTGAAACGTCTCAAATGTTCCATGAAGAAAATAGATCTGATCAAAATTCGCAGTCTATATATTAGGCATTTTTAGCAAATGTTTGGGTAAAGGCAACATCATTACTACAACTAGAAATTGACAAAATGAGGGGGGAAAAAAAAGCTTGGCTACCCACAGTTTCTCCTTAACCTCTTTGTTAAGAGTGAGATATGATGCTTATGTCTTCCAAAGCTAGCTACAGGTGTACTGTGTGAGGCTTTCTTATCCTTTTTATGTAGGCTTAATTCATGTTGGTGTAACATTGACACCAATTTAGCTGCTTTCATTTTGCAAAAGCTGCTCTGCTTGAGCACTGAATATACTCCAGTTAGTTTTTGTTAACTAAACATGGGTATAATGTAGTAATACTATTATTACTCTATGTGTATTGGTATAATACAGTAAAACTATTATTACTCTACACGTAATTTTACTACCATTATTTTGGAATGATTTGTCTTTTGTGCATAGATGTGATTTTGGGGCCACAAAAAGTTTAAGTGTGTCTAAATACAACGCTCAAAATCAAACAGTCATTTAAAGGCTGAGTGATTGGCTGCTGAAATTATTATCTTAGGTTGAGTAGAACATATTGAAAAGGTACAGGGGGGGATTTTCAACTTATTTATATTAAAATGTATATCTTAATATTTCAGTACTACCTTGCACATACATATAATCACTGATTACACTGTAATTGGAATGTTGGCTAATGTAAACCTTGCAAGTATTTTAATATAGGTAGACATTTATTTGCCATATGAGAATCAATTACACAGGCTGTTAAAAGCACAGGCTATGCTGATTTTATGTTTAACAATATTTTTATAGGGTGAAGGGTAATTTTCAGTAGTATTGGGTCTGTCTTGCCTGGGGATCATAAAGGCTGTCCATTAAACACTGTTCTGGCTGTCCTGTGTACAGCTGGGAGCTGGCACCAGCTGTGCACAGTAAGTTTTCCTTAGGAGCTCTCAGCTGGGCGTGAGTACAGGAGCAGAAAGCTCTCCCTGTGCCCAGCTCTCACCGCCTCTCTCTGTTTTGTCCCTCGGCAGTCGCAGAGCGCCTCTCCCAAGCAGAGGAAGCAGAGTGTCTTCACCCCTCCTGCGCTCAAAGGTACCGTGAGCTCCTGCCCTGCCCCTGCCTCGCTGGCTCCTGTGCCAGAGCCCTGGCTCTGCCCATGAGCCGCAGGGTCATGCCCAGGCATCACTGCCTTCCCCCTCTGCTGTCACCACCCAGCATGGACCACCTGCCTGCTGCTGGCCATCTCTTTATCCTCAGCACAGAATCTTGCTGCAGTGGCAAGTTTGTTTATTTGAGGGGAAAAAACCAAACAAAACAAGAAGTTTTTATGCTTTGATTAGCTTGCTCTAACTGATAATTCAATGCCAAATTATGAGCGGAGCTTCTTGAATATGTAAATTCTATTGGTGCTGGCCCCATAGAGTTCCCTGTTTCTTATTTGAAACCACTTCCCCATATTCTGCCTCTCTTTCCAGGCAGCTGTGAAAAGGATAAAAACCAAAACTGTGGGCTGGGTATCTGATTATGGGGAGTGTGAAGACTTTCTTGGGAAGAGAAGGAAAAATGAGAAGTCTTGCTGAAAGTTTTGAGGGCTAACATGCTATGTAGGAATATGTACAAAAGCAGCAGAAATATCACCTGGGATCAGAACAGTTACATTTAGGCCTTGCTTCTTATGTAGCTCTGAACAGATTTTGACTTGATGACGCTTTCAATGAAACAAAATCTGTGGTGATTCACCAGCACTTCTGACTGACACTTGTCAAAGCAGGATTATTTTCAGACTGCAGTCTAAGGCCGTCCTGCCAGGTGTCTCTTGATAGATAATGAATACGTAAATTTCCATTTGTCTGCTTAACACAATTTATTACCTGGCAGAAAAGGTGGGATATCTGATTTCTTGTGTGAAATACTGCCGCTGTCATGAGGTAATTTTTCATATCAGCCAGTTCTGTGGATCTCACTCTGTAGCTTCAGCTCTCTAATACCTGTCCTAGCCACAGTTAAAATATCACTCAGCTGCCATGCAAGACTGTCTGTTTGCCAAAATGGGCTGAAGTTTATGTGCTGGATATCGGAACTAATCTTATTACGTTATTACAATACTTTTTCTGGAAGGAAAATGCTTTGCACGGATAGCAATACCTATTGATCTCTCTGCTGAATTATTTTGCCCTACAAGCCTAGGCTAAACGCTGTGCAAATGAAGTGCAGTGTGAAACAGGTCCTCACAGCTCCTCTCAGGAACTGCAGCCTGCAGAGCACTACCTGCAGCACCCTGCTGAGCCCTGGGGAAGCGCCTGGCATGGTGTGCATCTACATCAGCTCAGCTCTCAGGGAACCGCACAACATAGGAGAGCATGTGATTCAAAAGATCACAACTAACCTGAAATACCTTGCAAACAGCACAAAGCAGAGCACAGAATGCCTCTCCTCCGTACCTCAGCACCCTAAATTGCACCATACTCCCAGGTACACAAGTGGATATTTGGAAGTTGATGACCCTTCCTGTAAACAGACTGGATTGCTTCAGCTTTACCGTACTGTTACTGTCATAAATGACTCCTTTTAATTTAAAAATTACCTGGTAGAAAATTCATTGTTCTTCCTTTTCATGGGTATGAAAACATGAATTTCTTTTTTGAGGCTGAGAGACATACAGCAATGTAAAATACACCACGCTATGAAATACACAAAGCTACCTCTATTTAGGAATACAGAGTTTTTATATTGATTTAAATTGTTCTAGTTCTATAGCAGTTGAAGATAACACTATTCAACAGTATTTTCAGAATAACAGGCTTCACTTTTGCACACTCCTCCTCAACTTTGAGCATATACGTATATTTATTTCCCTCAGTAGATTCATAGTACAGTATTCAACACACAGTAAAGTAAAAAAATGAAATTCTTTTCCAGCCCCCTGTGTGCTCCATACCCTCCAAGGCTGTTACTAATGGAAGGTGGGATAGACTGTAATCTGGTGTATGTTACCTCTAAAGCTGGAGATAGTAAATGGAGTGCAGAAGAGGCACAACTATTTTAATTTGTTAACTTCTCTGGCATTTTAATGGTTTGTAGCTGCTGTTAACCCAAAGTTCCCAAAAATAAGCCAAGCTTGCAGGCAGTGGAACTGAGCCTGGAAGCTGAGACAGCAGGGATGTGTGGAGAGCTGTGGGAGACATGAGGGGCTGTAGAAGGAGCTTTGCTTTATGCCTGCAGCAGAGAGGGATCAAGAGAAACCGTGGGCAGAGTCGTGCTTCAGCCTGACTCCAAACCTGCAAGTAGCTGGAAATAGTTTGTTGCCAGTTTTGTAAGTTTTTTGAAGTAATTATGAAACTATGTGAGAGAAAGGCTGCTGGTTTCTGAATTGATGGCTAGACAGGAGAGAGAAAGAGTAAATGAATGTGCATGTGGTGGTTATAGGAACCCATACAAAATGGGAAATTGTTGGCATTGTTGAAAAGAGCAGAAGCAACATCAGACAATTGTAGGCAGCACCAGAACTATGGTAACATGTTACATGAAATATCCAAATACATTAAAATATATGCAAAAAATGGAAATGCAGTATTGCTGAGGTTTTACCTATCATGGTAAATATATGGAGATCAACCTCTTAGTTAAATTGCCCGGAGGAGGAGTTCACATTGCCCAGAGAAGATGCGGCTGCCCCATCCCTGGAAGTGTCCAAGGACAGGTTGGATAGGGCTCTGAGAAACGTGGTCTAGTGGGAGGTATCCCTGCCCATGGAAGGGGGCCTGGAATGAGATGATCTTCAATGTCCCTTCCAACCCAAACCATTCTACGATTCTGTGATTCTATTACATGGTATCTATGTGGGCATAATTTTCCCTTCTGCCATAGCACTTACTAAACTGAAATTCAACATTATTAGCTGTCTAAGATCATCACTAAACGTTCCAGTTTCATCACTACAGAAGTTTCCTCTAGTTCAAGGGCAGGCTGTGGCTGCTGCAGCAAGCTGTAGCAAACCTGGAGCAACAGGCAGGTTCTTATTACTGCATATCAGTGTGTACTTTGGCTCCTGCTTTTATTTTCCTAAACAAAAACACACCAGAGTTCCTACAGACAGAGCAAATAGCTGACTCATCTCAGGGCATTGTTCTTTTTACTGGAATACAGTGTGCTGGAAAAATCAATGTGAGAGCTATTGATTTAAGTAGTAATCTGGAGAGGGACTCAGCCAGCCAGCCAGATAACAGCTCAGCATGGTGTGCTTCTTAGGATTATGTTACCAAACCTAATGGATGTCAAAGAGGTTTTCCATTTTGCTTTCATAGATAATTCTTTTCCTAACCTGCCACGCTAGTGTTTGTTAATTCCATGCTGGTATGTAGCAGGCAGTGTTGGCAAAAGTCAGTATCTGAAGGTTGCACCAGACAAATTCATTGTATTTTCTGCACATTGTGATTCACCTCTTGTCACACTTTTTTGTGTTTAGCAGTAATCTTAACTGAGGATTCGTCACCTCCAGTTCCCCAGTGACAGTGTTTGTGTCACTTTTTCTTCTGTTATTCATGGGCTTTTATGCCTGAAGTTCAAATTTCCTCATTCTTTAAGGTCTTCTTCATGTGTGAAGGTTGGCTTGAACCTCCCTATGAAAAATACCATAAAAACAACTACAGGAATGTTTTGCAATTTGAATAGTCATCAGTTTTACCTTGGGCAATATTTTCCAGTCAGTTCTCACTGTGTAAGGCCTTTTTTTCCTATTTACTACTCTGCTTCTTGTTCTGTATGACAAAATCAAGAAGAATCCTTTGATCCTTTTCCAAAGTAGATGCCCAGCTGTTTTAGCACAAAGATCCATCCATCCATCCATCCATCCATCCATCCATCCATCCATCCATCCATCCATCCAAGCACAAGCAGCATCTTTAGAAATATCTTCATTATTCTACTTGGTGGACTAGAGGAGCCCTTGGAAGTCTTGCTGGAGTCTCATTTTTTACCGTCACACTTGCCAGAGAAGTCCAAGATGGGATAATAACCCTCCCAGATAGAGAGGGACCAAGTGAAGGCATCTTAGGCTGCCAGGGCAGAAGTGGATTGCACTTACCTCAGGTAATGGTGCTTCCTTGGTGTTGCATTACCACTTGAAAATCAAAAGGGCACATTTGAGTCTCAGAGCTGCAACATCCCAGGGCATGCTTTGTGCTGAGGCAGGTTTCCTTTTACCTAGGTAGTCATGTTTTGTTTGGTAGCTCAGCTCATCCTTGGAGGGAAATGCAGACTGCAGTGACAGGAAACAAGGTTTACAAAGACTGACAGAGGCAGCCTGAGCTGTTCCCAAACCTGCATTGCTCCCTAGAGGTCCCAAATCCCCACATTATCTACCAGCTATTGCTATTAATACTGGTGGCTATTTAAATACCATCAAGGTCTCCCCCTGCGAAGGAAGTGCACGTTCCCAAGTGATCTGAGGATTTCATTAGCCGTGATTCTACTGGTCTGGATGTGCTAGAGGTCAGGGAAATAGGAAAACTTCGCTCGTTTTAGTTCACTCTGCAAGAGGCTGCTTAGTTCAGATCAAGATCCTACTGGTTTCAGCAGGCTTTAAAGAAAGTTATTGTAGCTGTCTGTGTTCACTGGACCACCTATGCAATGAGGAGCCATCAAATCATAATTAAAGTCATTCCCCACACAAGTAAGAGATGCATTTGACTGTTTTCCCTCTCAGCCTTTTGGGAAATAAATGCTTTAAATTCCCCCCTTAATGTATTTTTCTTTGCATAAAAACAAAGGCTTTTTCCTGAGCTAGGCCCCAGCTACAAGATTTGAAATGGGATTAAATCAGAGCTGTTATAAATCTAAGGAACATTCAAAGACATTATTTTGGTTTGAGACATTAAAACAACCAGAACTCACTGGCTTTTCCCAAAGTGTTCAGACCCAGGGATTTGATACATGCATAATTCTAGTATTTACAATGACGGTTGGTATTAAATGAGCTCTTTCTAGCTTCTGCCATGAATTTCAGATGCTCTGCTTGTTTAGTGCCTGCTTGTTCTTCTCTCCAAAGGAAACAACATGCAGAATAAATGATTAAAATCATTATGTCCCTCCTG